CCCCTCCCCTAACACTGGTTTGTGACCGTGCAGACCAAGGACCTACCAGAAGGTGGACGACCTTTCTTCTTCCTGGAGGTCATTGACCGGAACGACGGTGCCGTCAAGGTCAATGAGTACTTCACGAATGGTTACGTCACTGGTACGTAGAAAACTCTGCTTTATTATATCTTTTTCTTGTTTACTGCAGTTAATTATTTAAAGTTGTTTAATGAGTCAGCGGGACTGCTAGACACACATCTTGTGCCATCCATTATCTTTGTGAAAGTTCGTCGCTTTGGTCGTATAAAACTTCCGAACCACTTAATTTTTCGAATTTAAACATATTTACTGTGGTTCAGAATCAATTATTATAGGGTGCTGTTATATTAAGGAATCTGAAGTCACTGTAGTTTAATGTTCAGTTTTTCATTAGATATCTAGTGTCGTTTAGACCTAAGCTTGGGCAAGTCCGTCTTCTAAGACGCCATTGTAAACAAGCGAGGCTTCCGTTCACAAGTTAGGCTACCGGACTCGTAATCGTGAGACTGCGGGTTCGAGGGTTCGAGCGTAAGCTTGGTCCGACGTTGTGTCCTTGGGAAAAGCACTTTACACGAACTTCCCACTTGGCTCGATCCTTAAGGAGATGGACGTTAAACTCGAAGGTCTCGCCTCTTAATTAACCTAACAGTGTCGATAGGGGCGTTAAACCTACACCATTTCACCATTTTCACCTTACAAGTTGCAATAATAATAATTGGTCGCTTTTAAGGACAAGCGGGCTAACCGAGATTTCGGGGGTTTCCAGGAATCTTGACCAACGCCTAAAGTGGATATTGTCCTGCCTATAGAAAAGTGTGGTTTCATTAGTGTGTATATTTCTTAGGTTATAGAGAAAACTCTCCTCGTTTTTTAATGAAACTGAACAAGGGGCAAAAACTTTACCTTCGATTTTCTCAAAACAGCATTTTTCGGGATAACCCCCTTGTGTTTAAAAGCGACCAATTGTGATAATTGCCTTGTGTTTCGTTTCCCCTGACGAATTTCCCCAGAGTTTCGCTACAGCCAGAAGGTCAAGGAGGGGGCCAATGACCTTGGCCGACTGGCCGGCGTGTACGACCCAGGCTGGGGGATGGCGCCACCTGACCAGGCTCTGGTGTTTGTGGACAACCACGACTCACAGAGGGGGGCAGACACGCTCACCTACAAGGTCCGCCGGAGTTTTTAGTTTTAGTAGGAGTTTTACTGCACTTGTAACACAATACGGTCGTATTATTATAATTGCCGAAGATTTGAGGTGTTGCAAAAGAGTAACAAACATAAAAAAGAAGGAGGTTGATAGATGTTTGATAGGAAGGAAGGAGCAAACCACACCAAAGCACCCGCCAACCACCCACTCCACGGGGGTTTTGGGTTTGTCTTTTGTAGTGCGATCAAAAACCCTTGGCGCCATTTTTATTTATCCTTAAATATCTTTTTAACAGGTGAATCAATGACACACATACTTTACATAGCAGTTTGTATCAATTTCTCTTAACTTACTCATACTTTTCCTCAACAGTTAAGGCTAGATTAAAAAACTTTTATTTCGTAAAAGTTCATAAAATGCTATAAATCTCCATTACACGGAAAACTGGATTGTTCAAAGCACTTCCCGCTTCTCGCACGTCATTTGTGCATTTGCATATGGTCTACGTCACAGCTCAACAACGACACTTTTTAATGGCAAAACTTGTTACAAGGAATTAATTTCATAGTGAACACATTTGTTAAAGAGGGGTTTATTAATTTGATCGTAGACTTATTCTCTTTCCTTTTTTGTTGTTTACTTATTTGTTTGGGGTTTTTTTTGTGTTTTTTGTATGTTGTTGTTGTTTGCTTGTTGTTGTTTGTTGTTGGGTTGTTGTTGTTTTTTTT